TTTGGACTAATGTCTTCATTTTTATTGCTATTTCGGCTGTTATGCCGTTCGACTTTCTTCAAGCATCTGTCGATCTGAATAATTTTCAGAGAATTACGAACTGCATCCTTTAATTAATTTACGGAGTAGATTCTCGTTCATATTTTTAGGTATATCACCTTGTTCTTTTCTTTTTGTGTTGCTTCGTCAATTTAGTAGCAATGATAATAGCGAATTCGATCCTAGCGCTGAGTAGTACGGTCTTAATGATAACAGGACTGACAGTACTAAAACCATAGCAAACAAATTTTATATACTCTGGGAAACTATGTAATTCGTGTGACCCGCTTTATTGCGATATTCGCTTTATTGCAATTGTATGGAACAGAAACCGCCATATCCCCGATTTATGACTAATATATAGGAGTCGATGTGCTATAAATATTTATTTTTGTAAGCCACGACGGCAAATTGTGACATATTCTCAGAAAAAAAGTTAGAAATGATTTATAACAAGATGGTATTCTATTTTTATCTTTTTTTTTTTTTTTTTTAGTTTTGCCAAACATGTTTGTTCGCATTTCGAACTAAACACCCCAGGAGAAAGAGAAGCAAAGAGGAATAGCGGGAGAGATAAATATATAGAGAGGGACTGTTGTGATAGAGAAGGTAGGAGAAGAAATATAAGGGGGAAAACAAAAGCAACGAAAGAATATATCCCGACTCCCACCTACCCCTCACTAATTGGATGACTGCTCTACACATTCACAAAATAAGGGATCAGTGTCGTTGCTTATCTGGCCAAAAGAAAATTTTTTCTTCTTAACATAATCATTAAAACTGATTGGTTCAAGATTGAGCCAATCAGTGTGTAGAAAAAACGCCTACTTCCCCTCATACCCAGTTCGATTAGCCAATTCGTGTAGCTGTAAAATTCGCAAGAGTTTAGCTGCCACTGACACGAAGGGCCCCGTTTTGCTAGTGGGCTTTTTCTTCACAAATTATTTGACTTTATTTTCATTTTACTACCGTCGATAGGATCCATACAATTTAAGCTATTCATGACGTATCTTTAAGAATGGACTCGATCATTTTTACCTCGTGTCCTCATCTGTTTCAATGGCTGCGGTCTCCGGCGTTGCGTTCCTATCCCAGTTACACGAGACATGCAAAACTGTGCCCTTAGCCTCCCAGCACCATCTGCATACTATGTCCACCCGTCGATATAGCCAACGGCGCAGTGAAAAAAAATAGCAACCATAATCCCATGCTTTTCTTCGTAAACTAATGAAAGCCACTGGTGCTGCCGGAGTCATCTACCGTAAACAGGATCTCGTTGGCACACACAACAGCTGAATACAATAAATACAGCGCTAAGAATTCTAAATTGGATTTAATGACGAAATTGTTGGATCGCTTTCTTGCTTTTTCTGATTTTTTTAATATTCTTACTTTCTTTGCCAAGACTTGTTCCTTTCTCTCTTAGAAAAAAAAAAGTTTTTTTTTGTTTTTTTTATTGACAAGCTTTATTTTTTCTTTTCAAGATTTCTTTGTTTTTTCTCATATTTTTATAAGATTTCATTCATTCTTTGTTTTTTTCTTTCTTTCCTTTACAGTTTCTTTTCTTTCTTTTTCTTTCAAGACACTCCTTTTTTCAAGCCATTCTTTCTTTCTTTCTTTTTTTTTTCATTTTTTCTTTCATGACATTTCTTTTTTCTATCATAATATTCATCCATTCTTTCTTTTTTACTATTAAGAAATTTCCATTTTCTTTCACTCTTTGCTTCATTTTTTCTTTCTTTTATTCGTTATTTTTTCTTTTTTTTCCTTTCAATACATTTCTTTCTTTATTTCATGGCACTCTTTTTTTAGAAGTCATTTTTCTTTCTTTCTTTTTTCAAGACATTCTTTTTTTCTTTCAAGACATTTTTCCCTTTTTCTTTCGTGATATTTCCTTTTTCATTCATGATATTCATTCATTCTTTCTTTTTAAAAGACATTTTCTTTCAAGACTTTAATTTCTTTCTTTCTTTGTTCTTTCAAGACTTTCTTTTTTTCTAATTTCTTTCAAGATGATTCTTTTTACTTTCTTTCATTCAAGACACTCTTTATTTACAAGCCACTTTTTTCTTTCTTTTTTCTTTTTCTTTCACATTTTTCTTTCGTGACATTCATTCATTTATTCATTCATTTTTTCTTTTTTTTCTTTTTAGACAGTTTCATTTTCTTTCAGTATTTCCTTCTTTTTTTCTAAGATATTTCTTTCTTTCATTCAAGACACTCTTTTTTCTTTCAAATCATTCATTTTTTACTTTTACTTTCTTTTATTCGGTCATTTTTCTTTCTTTTTCCTTTCGATACATTTCTTTCTTTCTTTCATTCATTTATTCAAGACACTCTTTTTTTCTTTCAAGCCATTCTTTCTTTCTTTCTTTCACTCTTTCATTCATTCATTCAAGACACTCTTTTTTCTTTCGAGCCATTCTTTCTTTCTTTCTTTGTGAAGACTGCTTTTCCTTAGGAATATGCATTTTTTTGTTAATGTTGTTTGAACGATAATTTTATTATTATTTTCATTCTGAAGAAATTTTCCTGTATTTTCTTCTTAGATATCTTCTTTTTTTCCTTCTTCCATAAATTTTCTTTCACTCATACGCAGCATTTACAAGATCAACATTCACTAACAGTCAAAGAATTTTCCCCCTGATTAAGTCTCAAGCTTCCACGAAATTTCTGACGGAATTTCTGAAGAATTGAAATAAAATCTTACATTTCTTGTCCTTCATACATTTTGTGCCACTTGAATCATAACCTCAAATAATTTTCTAAAATGGATACGAATAACTTGTTTGTTGTCAAATATCAAAAGATCTTTTCGCTTAAGTAAAAATAAAAGAAAATTTTCAGTTTCCGACATTAACTTCAGGGGACGCCATATTTACTGTATGGTTTAACAATTTTCTGTCATCTTTTTAGACAACATCATAATTCCATTCTCTAAAAATTGCTCTATGTACATTTTCTATCTTCCTTTTGATTACTGTGGAATAATATCTGGTGAAAACGGATGTGTCAAAATCTCAAATCCAAGAAACATGCAATCTATCAATATCATGGAGTATTATTTTCCAAGTCCACAACGCTTCCCCCCGATTGCTACCTTGAAGCGGTATGAGAATAGTACAAGTTGGAATCAATCATTTAATAGTCCTAAAGGAGCGCATATTAGAAAATAGTTTTCTAAACCTACTATCCCTTGTTTCCTGTTTAGGAATGAGTTTCTGATTCCTTCCAAAGTTTTTTCCTTCTCTTTCACTTCCAGTAGCTCCTTGCATCTTAGTGGCTTCATCGCCTTGCTTGGGATGAATTGATTACAACATATGCAAACAGCAACACATTCTTTTCAATGAAGATCAGTCTTTCGTGTCATTAGTAGTGGTTTATTTCACCTTCTTCACAATGGCGAGAAATGCTTTTTATAAAGTATCCACTTTTCATCTTCAGTCAGAACAGAATAATCCAATCAAGTAGATTTTTTCTTTTTGAAACTTATGCGGAAGTTACACATCAAAGCAGATAACATTACCTAACTGGTACAAATTATTTTTTAACGTCCGATCATTCATATATATATATATATATATATATATATATGTATAATCATTTCACCCCAAGAAAGGCGAAAATGCCACTAGTCCGCAGGGTATTATAGGGAGTGAAAGTGAGAGAAAAGACTGAGTATAGATAGTATTAAAGAAAAGACAAAAGATGAACGGGATTCAAGAAGATAGAAGATGGCGATTGACGTTACATTTAAATTTTTGAAGATTGTATTTATCATGGGAGTAATTAAACGGAAGGTGTGAGAAAAGAAAACTATTAGAGTAGAAGTGGCGGTTGCATTTATCTATTTCAACGGTAAACACACACACACACACACATATATATATATATATATATATATATATATATATATATATATATATATATATATATATATAAGGTGTATTTCAATACACAAGAATTTTAAGGATTGTTCTGTGTCTGTACGCAACTGCTTTTTAATTTTCATGGTGACGTCATATAAACGTTTTTTAATACGCTTCAGTATACGACCTCCTATGGAGAAAGACACTTTATTTAATGTTGGCTGCTTCTTTTTATTGCAACAGATTCCAGAATTTTGAAACTTTTCTTTTATTTTTGATCTATCTATTTATCCATCTCTCTCTCTCTCTCTCTCTCTATATATATATATATATATATATATATATATATATAGAGAGAGAGAGAGAGATAGATAGATAGATAGATAGATAGATAGATAGATAGATATTTTGCGTCTATGCTCTTAAAACGTTTCATCATTTCTGGCAGATCTTCTACTACCATAGTGTGAGATATCTAATAATAAAAGTGATGGAAACACAAAGAAAAAGAACCTAAATGATATCGGTTAGATTATATCCCCAAAAGACATAAAAAAAATAATAAAAATTTTAGAATTCCCATCATCCTTCGTTCGTGGGCATGTGTAGTCGCACCAACAAAACTAATTTAGTCCGATGAAGTTCCGAATGATGAAACGTCTGACGCGAAAACTTTTTCCACTTTGTCATACATCATTCCCCCAAAATTGTTCTTGATATATAAAAAATTATATATCGTTAATTCATATATATATATATATATATATATATATATATATATATAGGCATGTCTGGTTAAATAAATTAGAAACATTGTCTACTTATTTTTAGCATAATCCTTTTATATTCACGAATATTTTTTCGTGTATTACAATCAAATGATTGTCACTGGTACAGTACAAGAAATGTACTGTAACAGTGAATCTGTCACACTATCTCTCAACACTCACTATATCACCTTACATCAGTTTAAATTCATATTTTCATCCTTGGAAGTGAGGTTTGATGATCCATGGAAAAAGAAACTCCCTGAGGAAATAAATTATAACCATGGAACCTTAAAGTTGTCGTTTTTTTTTAAATATATATATATATATATATATATATATATATATATATATATATATATATTAGAAAAGAGAGAGGAAATCGAGAAAGAAGTTAGTTGATGGCAAGTAAGAGAGAGGAAGAAAGAAAGAAAGAAAGAAAGAAAGATAGAGAACAGTTGATGGCGAGAGAAAGAAAGAACGAGAGAGAGATATATAGAAAAAGAGAGAAAGATAAAGAAAAAGACAGAACTTGATGGTAAGAGATAGAGAGAGAGAGAGAAAAAAACGCAGAAAGAGAGAGAAAAAGAGAAGAGAGAACGAAAGAGTGAGATACAAAAGAGAGTGTGAGAGAGAAAGACAGATACAAAATATAGGGAGATATTTATAGAAAGGACGATGCAAAATCGAGAAAGAGAGCGAGAAAGAAAGAGTGTAAGAAAGTGAGAAAAAGAGGACGTTAGAAAAGGAGAAAGAGAGAAAGGGAGATATCGAAAGAGAGAGTAATGCAAAAAGGAGAGAAAGAGAGCAAGACAGAAAGAGAGTGAGAAAGAGAAAGAAAGAAAGAGACAGTGAAAATGAGAAAAAGAGAGGAAAAAGCGAAAAAGAGTGAGATATGCTAATATTTGTATCAGAATTATTCAGCCATGTGTAAAATCCTCTTGCTAGAGAATAATTTACAGGAACAAATACGAGTTCAAAATGAGTTCAGAATTAAAGCCCCCCCCCACTATTAAACAAAAATATCAAACAACAAAAACGTCCACATACACACGCATCCATCCATATTCAGTTATAAATAAATATTTATTTAATCAAAACAGTGATGATTTTATTTTACTAGATATTTTTTTTTAACCGAACAATAATGTTCTGGGCATTGCTATATACCCGCTCCCGCTTTAGTCGTTGATTGGTTCATTTGAGTCAAGAGAATATTGTTTTCGAGCCAATCACAATTTCAGGCCATTGATATGCTTGTTTGGAAGTTTGTAATAGCAGTGTCTCTTTAAAGTACTATTTTCGTTCTTGGATTCGTAATTATGAGAAATTCTAACCCCTTGTCAACTTCGAAATAATACTGTTGTTTTAGACGCTCTACATCGGGTTCTGTTTAGAAATATTTTTTTTCTTTTACAATCAAACTAAGAAGACTACAAGTAGAATTTCATTGTAGTATTTCACGAATGATTTCAGTTTGGATAAATTATCTTACTACAAAAAAAAAAAAAAAAATTAAATTCTTTTATATACCGTGTCCCTTCAAGACTTGGACAAACACGACTCTCCTTCATAGCTCTTAGTAATGTTCGTTCCCTTATTGTCTCTCACAGTTCACGTTCTGTCATCCATTTTCTGTCTAAGATTGTGTTTCCGGTTCCTTCTAAAATATTCACATTAGCCCGTTGTGTCTTAGTGGCTTTATCACCTTGCTCGGGGCGAATTGATTTTTGTAGATATTTACCTTAAAACTTTCTCGTTGCTAACATGTTGCCTTCATACCATTCTCAGAATCCTTCTGTAGAAGCAAATCCCCAATGCCTCAGGGTTCCTTTTCATCTGTGATGAGATTGTTCAGCATGCATTGTCATGAACGAGGATTGATATTCCATAATAGTTCAGTAGTAGTTTCTTTGTTTGTAACGAAATTTTACTGTTCCCTGATATTTTGTTAGCGAAGCTATAGAGTAGGCTCTGCGACCAGAAATAGGTTTCTCAAGTTTTTTTTTTTTCATATTACTATAGATAAAAACTACAGAACAAAAATACAGCAGATAATGGGAAGGTCTAGTTTGCTATGTAAATTAATTGTAAATTAGCGACACCCTCAATGTATAAGATGCAAAATTAAAAAAAGAAACCAAAAAAAACCCATTGAAATTCGTAATCTGGAGTATATAATTGAGCGCTATGGCAGCAGGTATGATGTTTACGAAGCACGTATATAATGCGTTAAAATTTCCTATCTCTGCCGTGCGCCAATAGCCTAGGGTTAACAGTCTCTGACTTATGTAAAATCGATCGAGTTTCAAATTTCTTGAAGCAATTGGTTGTCTAGACACACTGATGAACTGTGATACAGCGAAACAGGCTGCCGGTGGATGAGTATATATATATATATGTTATAATATGTTATAATTTATATTATATATATATATATACACATTTGTATTATATATATATAGATATTCATATTATATATATACATATTATATATAGTACATATATATATTTATATTATAGATATATATATTTCAGTTATAATTTATATTATATATATATATATATATATATATTCATATTATATCATATATATATATATATATATATTTATATTATATTATATATATATTTTATATTATATAATATATATATATTTATATTATATTTATATTATATATTTTATTATTGTATATATTTATATTATATTTGTATTATATTATATATATTCATGTTACATTTTATATATATAATATTCTATATATTTACATTATATATATATATATATATTTAAATTATATTATATATATTTATATTTATATTAT